GGGATGTGTGTTTGTGTGGAGATGTTTTGTTCTGTCTGTAGGCACATGTATATATCCCAGCAAGTTCTTACTTTCATTTCATTTCTACATTTTTATGAACTTGTTTTATAAAGGTACTATTTAGTTAGGATAATTAAATATATATAAAAGCTTTCTGAGAGATTATTTACTATATAAATATATTTTCAGCTGGCTGATCAAAAATATTTTTTTAATTTTGTTTTTAATCATTCAAAATGTATTTGTATTTCCAGAATTGGACACAAATTGTACTTAGAGCTCAGTTAAAATACTATTGCAAGGAAGAACATTGATTTTTCTTTTGAGAATTCTGTAAAATGCAGATTAAGAGAAAAAAATTTCTTTCTTTTTAGCAGTAGCAAAAACACACTGTCAACTAAAATGGCCTTTGAATTTTCAGAGCTATGAAAAAATGTGAAAAACTAAGTTGTCTGAAGAGATGTCAAGATTTTATATCTCTAGTTGCTGTTGGCCTGTCCTACTGTTGTTTTTGAGTATTTCCTTTATTCTATTTCAGATGATTACAACTTTTAGGTTTCCCCTTACTAGGCAAGGTCAGACTGGGTTTATAAAACAACACATTGGCATATTGTGATTCTCTGTAATTAACTAACAATCAGTTTAGAAATGTTCAAACATGCATTGTTGTGTCTTTATATACTGTACTGGGTGTTTTAAGTAACTGGCAGATTACTGAAAAATTGGAAATTAGATTTCCAGTGTGACAACATTATTGTACTTAAAGAAAACCTTGTTTTTAATATGCGGTACCATGTAAAATTACTCGCGTTAGGAATAAAGTCCACTGTTGAAGTTGAATGTCACTAAGCTTATTATGTTAAAAAGGAATCAGTGTAATTAGAAGAACCTACCAGAAGCCAGATATGGTGTGGTATGTGCCACATTCCATGCACATTTTGACTTTGAGTTGTTCATTCAAAATTGTGCTTGTAAAAATGTATAAAATTTCTAAGTTTTATAATTTCTTTGTACTTGGTACTTGTTTTTTCTTGCTGGTAAATAGCTTTTTTTTTTAAATCTAATATAAAAGAAACCATGTTTATATTTTGTTAGTGATCAATGACTTTGTTTATATGGAAATTTGTATATTGTTGGCACACATCTTTGTTTAGATTTACATGCATGAAGGCCTGCAATAATTAGCACAATGAAAATTGCTTTTTCTTACATGTTCATTTTTTTTTAAAGATTGTGGTGCAAAGGGTTACTCTAAGTAACCCTCTGGACAATGGAATGAATATAAATGAATGGCACTTTGAGTGTTAATAAAGCTGATATTTATTTCCACTGTGATTGCTTTGTCCATATTTATTCTTCAATACAGTATATTTGGAGTTGTCCAGCCTTGCTTAAGTGAATCACAATCTAGGAGACTAATCTAATCTAGAAACCTTGAAACTAAACCGAATATTTCTAGTATTTAAGTCTATAATGTTTTACCCTACTTGCTCTAGTTTATCTTTGGACATCTTGAATACCCAAATCAGAACTTCATGGTGATTAAAAGCAAACACAGGCCTGGCATGGTGGCTCATGCCTGTAATCCTAGCACTCTAGGAGGCTGAAGCAGGTGGATTGCTTGAGCTCAGGAGTTCTTGCTCACCAGCCTGACTAAGAGTGAGACCCTGTCTCTACCAAAAATAGAAAAACTAGCTGGGCGTGGTGGCACATGCTTGTAGTTCCAGCTACTCAGGAGGCTGAGGCAAGAGGATCACTACAGCCCCAGAGTTTGAGGTTGCTGTGAGCTACATGACACCATGTGGATCCAGGGTGACAGAGTGAGACTCTTGTCTTCAAAAAAAAAAAAAGGCAAACACAAAAAACACAAAGCTTTACTGAGTATAAGGAATGGCCTCTCACATGTTATTTGAGATAATTTAGATTAATACTTTAATATAGAGGACAATTTAATAATGCAAGTCAATAGCCTCAGAATAGAATCTTGTATCCTTGAACTAGCAATTCTGTGAAAATGATTGTGAATCTGGTATATCTATGAAAGCCCAAAATCGAAACTCTTAAATGTCCAACAATAGGTCTATGGTGGTGAAGTACCACAAACTGGGTGGCTTATGATAACAGAAATTTATATTCAGTTCTAGAGGCTAAAAGTCTGAAATCAGGGTGTCAGCAGGGCTGTAGCAGCATCTCTCAAATTTCTGCTTCTGTTACCACGTGGCATTCTCCTGTGTGTTCCCTTTTTTATAAGGACCTCAGTCATTGGATTAGACCTCACCCTAATGACCTCATTTTAACTTGATTACCTCTGTAAAGACTGTATTTCCAAATAAGATCACCAGGGGTACCTCAGGATTTCAAAATATCTTTTTAAGGGAGACATAATTCAAACCATAGCTGTCTGTCTTCTGGCCCCTAAAACTTCATATCCTCCTCACGTGAAAAATTAAGGCTTGAAAATAATCCCCATTGGCTTGATGCTGGGTTCTCAGGGCTCACTGGAGTTGTGGCCTTCTGAACTGAGGAGGTGGCCCAAGGAGGCCTATGGTGGCAGAAGCAATCCCACTGGTCTCATCTGCCCTGTCACCACTTTCCTACCTGTAGAAGCCCAGAAGTCCAACAGCCTGCCTTCATTTCATGCCAACTCTGCCCCTTCAGTCAAAACTTTCATGGTTTCTGCCGAGATAGTTAATTGGATCTATAAGCCACATATCTAATCTCTTGCAAATAATAGCTGTCTAGCCACATCCTTGGTGTTTTCTCCAGAGCATACTTTCCCATTTTTTACACTATGAGTAGACTAAAAATTATCCAAATCTTCAAGTGCTGGTTCTTTCAGTAATTCCTTTTTTAGCTTCCAGCTCTTCACTGTGAAATGTTTCTTGTCCTTAGACCGTTTCTGTACTCACAGAAGTAATTTCCTTAAGTAATTTCTCTTTTTTTCCTATTTATTTCAGACAGAGCTTTACTTTGTCATCCTCTGTAGCGTGCTGTGCTTCATAGCTCACAGCAACCTGAAACGCTTGGGCTCAAGAGATCATCTTGCCTCAGGCTCCCAAGCAGATAGGACTACAGGTGCCTGCCACAATACTCAGCTATGTTTTTTTTTTTTTTTTAGAGACTGGTCTTGCTCAGGCTGGTCTCAAACTCCTGAGTTCAAGCAATCCACCTGCCTTAGCCTCCCAGTGTGCTAGGATTACAGGCATGAGCTACTGAACCCAGTCTTTTTTCCTTTTTTTAAAATTTTGGATTAATGTGAGGTTACAAACAATTAGGTTACATTGTTTGTGTTTAAGTCCCTGTTGTAGTTGTGCCCCTCACCCAGGTGTGCCATATACCCTTTCATTGTGCCTGTTAGGTGAGGGCACACTAATGCCTACCCTTCCCTCTCACATTCCCCCTTCCCTCACCTTAAAAACTCAATTGAGTTTTTCTCTTGTGGTCCCTAGGTAATTTCAACCAATTCTACATGTATAGTTTTAATACCATAAATATGTTGCCAGTTCCCAAACCTATTTCTAGGTTTCCGAACTTAAGACTCATATCTAACTTCATTTTTGACACTTCATTTAATTGTTTATTAGGCCATTGCTATGGACTGAATTGCATCCTTCCCAAAATTCTTATGTTGAAATTTTGACCCTATATTTGAAGGTAAGGCCTGTGAAGAGGTAACAAAGGATAAAAGGATGAAGGTGAGGTCCTAATCCAACAGGGCTGGCGTCCTTATGAAAAGAGGAAGAGACAATGGCTGTCTCTATGCCATGAGAAGACACAGAAAGAAGGTGACCATCTGCAAACCAGGATGTGGGCCCTCACCAGGAACTAAACTCTACTGGGACCTTATTTTCGATTTCCTAGCCTCCTGAACTGTGAGAAAATAAATATATGTTTAAGCCATGCAGTCTGTGGTAATTTGTTATGGCAGACTAATACAGCTACATCCATTCGGTATCTCGAAAACCATTCTCCAAATCTGTACTTTCCCTAAGGTAAATCATTATTTTTGCAGTTACTTAGACCAAAATCTTGGAGTTATCCTTTACTACTGTCCTTTGCTTCCCCTATCAAGTCAACCAGCAAATCCCATCCACTCTACCTACAACAGATAAGGAATTGAACTACTTTTCATCACCTTTACCCCCACCATCCCAGCAAAGCCAGCAGTTTCTCAATGGACTGCTCTTGGCCTTGTAAAGTCTGTCTTCAGAGCAGCTAGCATATACAGTGATCGTTCAATTCTAAATCAGACTGTTGTTTTTCTGTCCAAAGCTCTCCTGTGGTTTCTCATTTCATAATAAAACCCAAAGTTCTTGCCATTGCCTACCAGGCTGTCCTTCAGCATTTCTCAACCTTAAACTTTGAGAATCATCTAAAGGACAAGATTGTTGGGCCCCACCTTCAGTTTTTTTCTTTTTTTTTTATGCAGTTGGTCTGGGATGAGGCTAGATACATTGCATTTGCCTTTGTAAGCCGTTTTAACGGGTTTTCATGTGACGTTTTAGAGGCTAGGGGACCCCACCTTGAGAACTACTGCTCGGCACGCACCGCACCCCTCCACCCTCTCACCTCTCCTGGCCACACTGCTGCGGTGGCTCCCACGTTTGTGTGCTCCGCGTCCTCTCTCGCACTGCTCCCTTGGGACTTACAAAGTACTTCACTTTCCTCAGATGTTTGCTTAGCTAACACCACTTCAGGATGTATTCGGGAACCACTCCGTTTAGAATGGCACTGTCACTCTGAGCCCGTTAATTTTTCCTCAGAGCACTTAACGCTACATTTGTTGTTTATTGTCCGTATCGCTCTATTAAAATTCCAGTTGCAGGAAAAGCAGGCCACCAGTTCACTGCCCAGGTGCAAAATAAATTTACCTCACTGACGTTCTAGAGAGGAACAAACCAAAGAAGGCCTGAGGCGGGCTCTCGTCACGTGGGCCGGCGCCCGGAGGCGGGACTTCCTGTGTGGGTGCCAAAGGGCTTCCGGTCTAAGCCGGAAGTTGCTGTGAGAGCGGACGCCGCGGTGGGTCCTTGGCGGTTACTGTTCCTGTTTGCTGCTGCTCCTGCCGCCATGGGCAAGAGAGACAGGGCAGACCGCGGTGAGACGTGGTGCGGGCGCGTTCGGGCTTCCCTGCACTCGCCGCCGGTGTCACAGTTGCTCCGGGCTTCTCGGCGGCGGCCCTCCCGCGAGCACACCTGGTTCCGCTGGGTGGGGGGCTGCTTTACCTGGGCTCCCCGGAGAACCGGGTGGGTAGGAGGCAGTGGAGAGACGCGATGCCCGCGGGATGCAGGAGGCTCTTGGCTAGTTCACGGCTCAGGTGAAATGCCGCCCGGCAGTGTGAAGGGAAACCCTGAATCCCTACCAGGCTCACTTTTGTGTCCGTATCTGCAGACAAGAAGAAGTCCAAGAAGCGGCACTACGAGGATGAAGAAGAGGATGAAGACGACGCCCCTGGGAACGAATCTCACGAAGCGGTCCCCTCGGCGGCCGGGAAACAGGTGGATGAGTCTGGCACCAAAGTGGATGAATATGGAGCCAAGGACTACAGGGTGCAGATGCCGCTGAAGGACGACCACACCTCCAGACCCCTGTGGGTGGTAAGCAGGCGGTCAGGCAGGGCAGGGCCCAAGAGTTTGTGGAGCTGCCGCTGTATCTTGGGCATTCCTAGAACCAAAACTAAAATGTGGGATCCCCCCTCCGCCCCCCCCCCCTACATACATGTTTTAACAGAGATAGAAATGAGCAGCTGTGTGCACATGTGCGGGCCGGACCTGGGCTTCCTCCATTTCTAACCTTTATGTTTACTCTCTGTCCCACCTTAACCCTGCCCCATGTTAGGAGGTACTTTTATTCTGCCTAATAAATATTTACCATGTAAAAAATTATTTCCCTACTTTTGAAATAAATGGGAGAACCATAGTTGGTAGCCAGCTTTTGATCAACTTAATTAATGTTATACATTTAGTTGAAGTTTAGCTAAAAGGCTGCCTGCAGTTAGCCAGTAGGGAGGGCTTTCCCTAGTAAAACAGTGAGAAACAGCTACTGCCTTTGGAAACCTTTTCTTCTATTCTTGTCTACTTCTTGGTATCTGATTAAAGTAACAGATTTCACAGTAGCCTGAAGGAGTGCTTGCAGAAATTATCTCTGGTATTGAGCAGATTATTCTTTCTACATAATAACATGGGGGAAAGTCTAATAGTCTCTACAACTCTTAATTTCCTTGTTGGTTGCATCCATTTGGTTTTTCTCAGGCTCCTGATGGCCATATCTTCTTGGAAGCCTTCTCTCCAGTTTACAAATATGCCCAAGACTTCCTGGTTGCCATTGCAGAGCCAGTGTGCCGACCAACCCATGTACATGAGTACAAACTAACTGCCTACTCCCTATATGCAGCCGTCAGCGTTGGGCTGCAAACCAGTGACATCACTGAGTACCTGCGGAAGCTCAGCAAGACTGGAGTCCCTGATGGTATTATTCAGTTTATTAAGGTAAATGGAGGCTGAGATTAGCAATTCTGCCTGCCTTGCTAGTGTAGTAATGGCTGGGATAGGGGCTGCATGTTGGCACAGCAACCATGAAAATGTGCCATTCACATCTCCCATAGTAAGCATAAAATAACTGATCACCACAGCTGTTACCTTTCTGGATCCAGTATTGTGTTATGGCTGAGGCCACACTTCTCCCAAGCCGTTCCCAGCCATGGGCGCTAACACAGTGGGGCTACTGATTTGGGCCTGGTCTGGCCAGGGTTATTTGGCAGTGCCACCCAAAGTGAGTGGTGTTATGGACAGAATCGTGTTCGCTTCAAATTTTTATGTCAAAACCCAAATCTTCAGTGTTAACTGTATCTGGAATGTGAAAGTAGGGCTAAATGCAGTTGTAAGAGTGGAGCCCTCGTCCAACAGGGCTCATAAGAAGAAATGCTGGAGAGTGTTCTCTCTTCTGCTGTCATGCGAGTAGGAGGAGAGCCTTCACCAGAAACGAATCAGCTGGTGCCTTGATCATGCAGTTCTAATCTCCAGAACTCTGAGAAAATAATTTTTTTTTGTTTTTTGAGACAGAGTCTCACTATGTCGCCCTTAGTAGAGGGCCATGGCGTCACAGCTCACAGCCATCTCCAACTCCTGGGCTTAAGCAGTTCTCTTGCCTCACCCTCCCTAGTAGCTGGGACTATAGGCACCTGCCACAATGCCCAGCTATTTTGTTGTTGTTTGTTCTTTAGCAGGCTTGGGCCGGGTTCAAACCCACCAGCCTGGGTGCATGTGGCCGTTGCCTTAACCACTGAGCTACAGGTGCCAAGCCAAAATAAAATTTCTATTTAAGCCACCTAGTCTATTGTATTTTGGTTAATAATATGGGTAGTAAACTCCCATCTAAGGCTAAATGCTTACACAAGACCAAGAGTCAACAAGTTCTATCAGGGACAGTCAAAAGAACTAAGAATGTTGAAGTGGAGAGAGTTCCATGTGAATTACAGTTGAACTGAGTTTCTTCTGAGAGATGGATGAATACCATTTAGAAGAGGTAGACATTGGCTTTCTCTGCCTTTGGCTGACCTAGAGGAGTCAGATTTAGACCCCCAAATCTTCAGTAACAGAAGAATGCCATCGGCATCTAGTACTGTACTGCAGCCAATCCCAGAGTAGCTGCTGGAGTCGGGGGAGAGTTCTCTTATAATGTGGAAGGGTGTCCAGGAAGAGGGGCCTGCACCTTGCTGGAATAAGCCTGCATCAGCACCATGGCTATGACCCATCTTGGCTGGGAGCTACCTACAGGGATGCAGGTGCTGGTGTGGTGCTGTGACGGGTCAAAGGACAGCAGTCAGGGCAGGCAGCCCCCAGGGTCTTTTTTCATGGCTACCCCTAACCTCTACTGCATTTCTTTCTGAAGATTGTTGGGAACTTGAGAAAATTTAAGCTGTTTTATCAAGATGCTTACATTTCCAAATAAGAACATTGGTGAAGAGGCTAGGAAGCTTTGCATTTTATTTATGCAGCAGTTACTGAGCACATACTGTGTGTAGGGAGCTATAGTAATAGCTGTGGTAGGATGAACCTCCAAATTAGGGTGGAGGCTATGGGAATGGAGAGAGAAGGGAGAATTCAAGAGAAATTTTAAGCAGTGTTTTGTAAATTAAGCAATGTGCATTGGAGTTAGCCAGGCAAAAAGCAAAGGCCAAAGGAAAAGGTTTCGTTTAGGAAAATCTGACTCCTTTAGGATTTTGAGTTAGCTTTTCATAAAGTGAAATGAACTCTTCACTTGGTTGGAAGATAAGATGTGACCTGTAATGCACATCCTCTGAGTGAACTGCTCATTGCTCATTTTCCATATTTGGTCTTGTCTTTGTAGTTGTGTACTGTCAGCTATGGAAAAGTCAAGCTGGTCCTGAAGCACAACAGGTAGGAGAGATTCCAAGGTAGGCTTGTCCCAAGACATCTTCATCTGACTGCACACCAGGTGGGAGGAAGGCAGGCACTAGTAATGTTTAAGGACTGTCTGCTCTGTACACATCCTTACTATCCTGAAGCACAGATAGGAAACAGGATGTGTGGCCCAGATTGGAAATTCAGTCACTGGTCACTGTGTTTCCCCTAGGAGTGGAGCTGGGGCTCAGACCCCTGCTTGCTTGATTTCGAGGTAGGTATTTGCCCACAACCCTGAAGTTACGCTGTGGCCAGTAGCTCAAAGCTTATATTTGCCAAAAGGTTGGGGGAGTGGCAAAAGTCATAAGGACTTTATTTCCATAATGAATGAGTAGTAGAATCTTCTGGAAGTGCTTGCTAGGCAGTAGGTACCACTTTTCTCCCCTGGTTGTAGGTACTTTGTTGAAAGCTCCCACCCTGATGTCATCCAGCATCTCCTCCAAGACCCCGTGATCCGGGAATGCCGCCTGAGGAACGCTGAAGGGGAGGCCACGGAGCTCATCACAGAGACTTTCACAAGCAAATCTGCTGTACGTGAGCTCATGGGTCACATTTGCGGGGCTGGGGATTTAGGATTTTAGCTCTCTCGGGTACTTTTATCTGGTACTTGCAACCTAGAAGCCCTGCTGTTTTCTCCTCCTCACAGCTTTAACCCTTGCTTGGTAACAGTGGAATGAAATATTAGATGTAGGTCCAGAGCCTACCTTTCTCTTATAGATTTCTAAGACTGCTGAAGGTAGCAGTGGCCCCTCCACTTCCCGAGTGACAGATCCACAGGGTAAATCTGACATTCCTACAGACCTATTTGACTTTTATGAGCAAATGGACAAGGATGAGGAAGAAGAAGAAGAGACACAGACGGTATCTTTTGAAGTCAAACAGGTCAGTGAATGTCCCCTTTTGGTTCTTTTGCTTAACCTGTGTCAGAAGCCAGTCCAGCCCTTTGCCACCTCTGCCTGTAGTCTGTGTGAGAGGAAGAAATCCCTGTCAGTTCCTGAGTTGCTTTCTCCTTTTTCAGCGTTGATGGGCCATACGTGGCATCATTTCTCCCAGTGGAGTGGGATCCAAATGTCCCCTTCTCAGGCTGGTAGGCTGGTCTTCACAGGCTTCTGAGGAGACAGTGGCAGGGGGTCTGTTTAGCTTCTGATTAGATTCCAGTATGACATTGTTGTTAGTTTGGGTTGCTTTTCTGTGCTTTAACCCAGTTGTTACCAAGTAGCGTCAAACTGTAGAAGTCTGGATAAAATACCATTTTTGACTATTGGGCATCTTGGAATATGTGGTGTTTTGACTATGCTTTGAAGATTAACAAGATTTTAAAAACCTCCTTCATGCTTACTCCCCAGGAAATGATTGAGGAGCTCCAAAAACGTTGTATTCACCTAGAATATCCTCTGCTGGCAGAATATGACTTCCGGAATGATTCTGTCAACCCTGATATCAACATTGATCTGAAACCCACAGCTGTCCTCAGACCCTATCAGGAGAAGAGCTTGAGGAAGATGTTTGGGAATGGGCGTGCGCGGTCAGGGGTCATTGTTCTTCCTTGCGGTAAGTAGTTCCTGAAGGAAGAAGATGGCTAGGCTGCTCTGTCTGGATCTGCCAGCTTCTTCCCACTCGCCCTCTGCACATTTCCCTAAATCATGCCTTGCCAGGAAACAGCCAGAGTCAGGTGACCCCTGATTCATGACTTGAGAAATATTTTTGGATAAGTTTTGTCAATAAATATGGTGCCAGGTCCTGGCCTAGGTCCTGGGGGTATGATGGTGGCTTGAACAACCATTAGGCTGACCTCATGGAGCTCATTCCTGGGGCAGAGACAGATAGTAAGCACATTAACTAAACAGTGTATAAAATCTTGGTTGGTCATAGAGTCTGGGAAGAGAAGTAGAGGAGGAAGAGGTAGCTGTGCAGATGGCACAGGGCTGCTTTATGTAGTGAGATAATTCTTGTTTTTGAAATCAGTCTCAGGAGTTGGGTATTTGGAGACCCTCTAACACAGAAGCTCTCCTTCTTATGATGGTGTTCAAGTTCAAAAAAGGCAGTAGCAGCTCCCTGACCACAGTCTGACCTCACTTGTCCTCAATAATGTCATATCCTGGCCTCCATCTCAGCCAGAAGCCATGACAGACTCACCTGGGGGCCTTACCCTTGACAATCTCCAGGGGACAGGAAGTTCTTTCAAGCTCCATAAGTTATTTTGATGGCAAAAGAAATAGCTTGATTTTTATCTTGATCATTAGATGGTGATGGTAGTAAACTGGGAAGCTCCTGGAATTTCATCTCCTCTGTTTCTATCAGCGATGCACATGCTTAATGCATTGCTTAGCTCTCAGCCCCATTTGATAATAGTGGCATCAGGGCTGTGTGCCCCAGCAGCATAGTGGCTTACAACCTGTGGCAAAGCACTCATCACCTTGTTTTTCCATCTTTTTTTGTATGTTTGTTTGTTTTTTGAGACAGAGTCTCACTTTGTCCCCTTCAGTGGAGTGCCATAGTATCACAGCTCACAGCAACCTCAAACTTGGGCTTAAGTGATTCTCTTTCTTCAGCCTCCCTAGTAGCCGGGACTATAGCTGTGTGCCACGCACCTGGCTAGTTTTTCTAATTTTAGTTGAGATGGGATCTCACTCTGGCTCAGGCTGGTCTTGAACTCTGGAGCTTGAACAGTCCACCTACCTCAGCCTCCCAAAGTGCTAGAATTACAGGCGTGAGCCACTGCGACCACCCTGGTTTTTCCATCTTTTAAATAGCAACAAGAGTATCTCTTACTGGCTTTTTGTTTTGCGATTTTCCCATCTGAAGGAGATGCTTGTGAGTGCTGCAGGAGCACCTGCTACCTGCTGGTTCTCAGCTGTGTGTGTGTGATATGGGTCCTTACAAAGAAAACAGGTTGGAGCAGTAAGTACCTCATAGATGTCCACTGTGAGGACTGTTATAAGACATTTTCCTGGATTCCTATGCTAATCAGTCATTCTGCCTGTTCCTGTCTTTTGTTTCAACCAGGTCTTGGGTAGAATCACCCTCTGGTTTCTTGTAGGTGCTGGGAAGTCCCTGGTTGGTGTGACTGCTGCATGTACTGTCAGGAAACGCTGTCTGGTGCTAGGCAACTCGGCAGTGTCTGTAGAACAGTGGAAAGCCCAATTCAAGATGTGGTCCACCATTGATGACAGCCAGATCTGCCGCTTCACCTCTGATGCCAAGGACAAGCCCATAGGCTGCTCCATTGCCATTAGCACGTATTCCATGCTGGGCCATACCACCAAAAGATCCTGGGAGGCTGAGCGAGTCATGGAGTGGCTCAAAACCCAGGAGTGGGGCCTCATGATCCTGGACGAAGTGCACACCATACCAGGTAACCAGGCTGAAGCTGAGAGATCAACTAGTTATACAGGTGGAAATTTGATTTGCAGTTGTTGGGTTGGGGAAAGGACTGTTGTGTAATCCATCTGACTAGGTAGAAGGACTTGCTTGGTAAAGCTTTTAAATAATTCTTAAGTGTGGGTTGGGGGTAGGGTTATACATTAACAGCTTCCTTAATCACTGGGCAGAGTAGTCAGTAAGACAGTGATATTTCCTTCATCCTTATTGTTGCAACTGACCCTTAACCCATTTGTTATGGCCCTGTGGAAACTGGGCCAGGAGCACTGAAAAGCCCCTTGAGTAGTAGTGGTCTGTTTTATTTAAAGTCTGAAGTATTGGTCCTGAGTCACAGTATGTAATAAAAGGCAGTACCTCTCCAAGTATTACAGGCAAACCCTTTTTAAAAATAACTTTATTTATTTAACTTATATACTATAAAATCCTGTGCTATAAATGTATAATCCAGTGAGTTTTAATAAATTTATAGAGTTGTGCATCCATTACCACGATCCAGTTTTAAAATATCTCCATCATACCCATTTTCAGTCAGTCCTAGTTTTTCTGTGTAGCCTCAGGCAACCACTGACCTGCTTTCTGTCTCTATAGATTTGCCTTTTCTGGAAATTTCATATAAACAGAATCATAGAATATATATTTTCTCATGTCTGGTTTCTTTCCCTTTGCATAATGGCTCCTCCATATCATAGCATTTCCTCTTATTGCTGCATGATATTCTAGGCAAACCTTAGTTGATAAAAAACAAATTAAGAGATTAAGGAGAACAGATTAAGATAAATAAAGTCTAAAGTAGAGTTTATTCTGAATAAAGTGAACTAAGGCATTTTCATATACAGCTTTTAAAATGTTGTCAAAACAACCCTAGCTTCTGGTCCTTTCTGTATAATGAGAGCTTCTCCAGCACCTGTTTCTGAAGATACTTAGAGATGTTTACAGCTGGCCAGGGAGGGGTCAGGGGTCTTTCTAGTGGCAGCAGCAGGACACAGGCGCAGTGGGAAAGTGGTTGGTATGTTTGGACAACACTAGATGGCTATGTTGCCAGAGCAAAGCATAGGAAGAGGGAGTGTTGTACGCTGATATTATAGGCTATGGGAAGGAGTTTGGCTTGTACTGAGTGAATGGGAAGGCATCCAAGGGATTTGAGCAAAGAATTGAGTTTGAGGAATCCCATAAAGAGGTGTGAACCAGTGAGAATGAAGTAAATATGAAGGTATAATTGGACTCTGGATATCTTGTGAAGCTTCAGCTGACAGGTCAGCTGTGGGATCAGAACAATCAAGGATGATCCTGAGATTTTGGGCTGGAACAAAGAGAGTGTGGAGGCATTCACTAAGATGGGGAAAGCTATCAAAGGAGCAGGTCTGGAGGGATATAGTCAGGAACTAGACTTTAGATATGTGGATTTGAGTTGCCTATTAGATATTCAAACAATTAGCCATTTCTCCAAAAGAGGGAATACAGATAGCAAATATGCACTTCAAAAGGGGTTAAGCATCATTGGCTATCAGGGAAATGCAAATTTAAACTACCACAAGATGCCCCTGTTTGCCTATGAAAGGCTGAAATAAAAAATAATGACATCCAGTGCTAATGAGGTCACAGAACAGCTAGAACTGTCACACACTGCCTGGGGCATTGCAGAGTGGAGACTGGAAAAGTTTGTTATTTTATTATAAAATTACCAAATTACTCATCGTCCCACTCCTGGGCATCTATCCTACATAAGTGAAAACAGGCTAACACAGAAGCCTGAACTTGAATGTTTACAGCAGCTTTGTTCAAAACCCCATCGGTGGGTATTTGGATAAATATTTACTTGTACTCACTAGTAAAAAGGAGCAGATAGATGATGCAAGCAGCTACTTGGATGAATTTCAAAGGTATGTTGCTATGAGAAAGAAGCCATTATCAAGAAATTCCATGGTGTATGATTCCATTTATATGGTATTCTCAAAAAGACTATGGTAGTATAATGCTGGCCCCACAGATCAGTTGTTACCGGGGATGGAGGCTAGAGAGGGATAACTAGAAAGGGTGAGTGTGGGGAAGTTTGGGGGTGATGAATAGGTTTGTGCTCTGATAATGGTGGTGACTACATACATGTATACAGGACAAAATTCATAGAACTGATACCCCTGCCTCCCTGAAAAAAAAAGTCAGTTTTCCTTTTTTTTTGGAGACAGAGTCTTGCTCTGTCACCCTTGGTAGAGTGCAGTAGCATCATCATACCTCATAGCAACCTCAAACGATTCTCCCACTTCGGCCTTCCCAGAGTTCTAGGATTATAGGCGTCAACTACCACACTGGCTTTACTGTGATAAAACCTAAACTAAAAGAACAAGGGAAGGGTAGATAAATTGGGGTTACTGGCATTGAAAATTGATGCTAACGCGAAGCACTGCCTACAAATGAGTTAATTGCTTTGTAGCAGTTTAGCTAAAGGCTGTGCTTGAAGCTTCAGAGGGCTTGAGCCTTCCCGCTTGAGTCTATATTGATATATGTTGGTGTTCTTTAACTTGTGCCCCAGGTTCTAAGGAATGGAAGCCAAAATTAGGATTGGTTATCTGATGACAAGGACATAGAGGTGCACCCACACCATTCCTGCTTGTGGCATGTATCTGTATGTGTTTCTGTCACTGGAGCAGTTTGTATTTGGTTGTGATGAACACTGAAACCAGCTGACTCTAAGGGATTTAGAGTTCAAGCTTCCATAAGCTGCATGAGCTGGCCATGCTCACTGGCCCAGAGAACAAATAAACAAGAGAATGTTGGTAATTCAGAGTAAGTTTTCTGATTGTTTGACACTTTGAGTTAGGTAAAGGTTGCTGTGCTCTTACATAGGTCTTTGAAAAGGAACTCTGTTAGGTCTTTTTATGAATAAGAAATTTGTATTGCAGTATTTGCATATACAGGGTGGCCATAATAGTTTTCTATTTTAAATTGCACAAAAACTTTATGTCCACTCTGTATTAAGCACTTCCTATGTATTGGACATTGTGCCAGTCTCATTATTTCAACATGTATTTATTGAGAACCTACCAAGTCCAGGCGCTTTGTTTGGCCCTGGAGACAAAGTAGGAGGGAAAGTCAAATCACACAAAAAATGGCAAATGACAACCATGTCATAATGTTGAGTGACACAAGCCATACACAAGTACAAACTTCAGAAGGAAGCAGACTCCTCTTAGAAGACAGAAGTCAGCGTAATATTCCCTTGGAGGAGAGTGCTGGTTGTTGACAAGGGTCAGGGAGAGATGCAGGTGAAAAGCATATATGTCTTTGTCTCTGCCGTTTCTGAGAGTGAGCATGGACAAATCTAGCCTGGCACAATTCAGGAGAGACTGAGGCAGAACTCCATATGGCTTGGCACCAAGGAGGTAAAATTCCTGTGCCCAGACCAGGGGGCCAGGCATGCAGGCACGTCACTGGCATGTCACCTGGATCTCTAAGTTGTGGTTTTGCAAGGTTGAGATACTGCCTCCAGCTGGCTTGAGGCTGAGAACAATCAGCCTTTTTTCCCCTAGCAGTTCTCATTTCTATGATAAAGTGGGCTAGGGAGTTAACAGTCTTCTTCTTCACGGCCTCTATTTTGAGTCTAATAGATAACTTAGAAGAATGTGTCTCACTAAAAAGTTAGTCTGTTTTTTTACAATATGTTAGTGAGGTAATGGTATGAATATTCATTAACAACATGTCCATGGAGCAGTGGCTGTGTAAGCTGGGAAGAAATAAAGATTTTTGCTGTCTGCCATAGAGCGGTAGTCTCCTTTATGTCATAATGATTCCACTGCAGAATCTGCACCTGTGTCACCAGCCACTCATAAGAAACTTTCACACAACAGAGAGACCTCTGGGTGCTCCATAGGTGTGCACCTGTGGCAAAATGTATTGAGCCATACACTGCATTGTTAGTTATCCACTCGTGACAGCTGTGTAGTGGTAGGTGAATATAATGGAGGGATGTGACTGGTTGCAGGGTGTTGGTAGTGTCCAGACAGGGCCTTGCCCCATCCCTCTCTTGGGTCACTATGCTGCCTCTCTGGGCTCCCCTTAGGTTGGCTACTGTGTCCCTCTAACATGGAGAGCAAGGTCTGTGATCCTTGGCTATCGTTTTTGGAAACAGCAGTCAAAACTCTGACATTGGTTTTCTTTGTTTTGTGTGTTATGTGGGGTTTTTTGTGTTTGCACATGTCTATGTTAAGCTTCAGTATGTAACACTGTAAAAACTGCCATATTCTTAGGGTTAGACACCCTCTGTTGTTTTAATGTTCTTAGTGTTTTTGATTTGTGTTTTGGAGCATCCTGGCCTCTTTTTCCTTAGACTGTTGTGTCTATTTTCTGAGTATCATTAGGCCAACTTTAATTATTTTGTAACATAAACATGACTCAAACATCTTAATCTTCTTTCAGAGTATTAGAATTTTTAAAAGGTGAGCCTATGGAAACATATACGTTAGGTCTTTTAAAATGAATCTTCATAGCCATTTATGTATTTATTTGATAAATCAGAAGGAATTATAACATTCAAAGGAAAGGAAGAAAAAGGAATTTGTTGACCAAAGTGATGTAGTTGGTAAAGTTTGGAGAGGGGGATTTGCTGAAGTCAGCAGGGCTGCTTGGGGCAGAGTGAGCTTGGGATTTCGTCTCTCCCTTAGGCTTGGCTTTCTCCCTGGTTTCTAGGAAGATGGTAGGAAGCTGAGCAGAGCTGGCTCCTTTCATTTCTCTCTTCCCCCCAGGTCTCCGACTCACTTGTCTGTACCTGGGGACAAGTTTCAGGATAAATTAATTGCTCGCATAATTTAGAGCTTACTGGTATTGTACATGTCATAGATCATGTCTTAGCTTGCTGTCTGTGCTCCTGATGATAACTTAGCAGTCATGAGAAGAATGCTGTGGTTCTCTGACTTGGAGCTTCCTCAGTCATTTCTCCTTCTTCTTGTCTTTTGGACAGGTCTGAAAGTAATTATGAAGTGTTCTCACCTATTCATTCTTATTTGAGCCAGGTTCCTGTTGTCTTGATACCCACGGGTTAGCCCATGCAGTGTTATAGGCCACTGTTAAGTCCCAGGGCTGTGTGTTATGGTACTTGAACATTTTAAAAAGTGACAGTGTGAATACTCCCATTGTTTTCCCAGCCAAGATGTTCCGAAGGGTGCTCACCATCGTGCAGGCCCACTGCAAGCTAGGTTTAACTGCAACCCTTGTCCGGGAGGATGATAAAATCGTGGACTTAAATTTCCTGATTGGGCCTAAGCTATATGAAGCCAACTGGATGGAGCTGCAGAACAATGGCTACATCGCCAAAGTCCAGTGTGCAGAGGTACCTGAGTTCAGGCTGGGTGGGTGTCGGAAGGGGGGTACTGTTCCCATGACCAAAGGGAAATGATCAGGTTAGGGTCTGGGCTAACTTGCCACTAACTCACAAAGTACCCTCAGTCACCCTGGGAGCTGGGCAGGATTATACCCACTTGCAGATGAGTGGAACAAAGTCTCTCGTGCCAGATCTTACAGTTAATAAGTTGTGAAGTCAAGGTGCTATTCCAGGCCACTGGGTCCAAAGTCCATGCTCCTTCTCCTTGCTGTGAGTGAGCTCCTTGGGGGGTTCTGCTTAGACAGCCTCCCAGGTCACTCCTAGTGTCAAGTCTATTAGTTTTGATGCCCCAAGAAGGCAGCCTGTGGTCTTCATTTTCTAAGAACATGTTTCCCATATGGTTCTATAGGGAATATCTACACAAGTGTATGTTAAAATTCTGTATTCAGAGGTAAGTCTTCCCAGAGGGAACAACAAATATTCTTTCTACCTTAAATTCTTTCTATTCTATTCTTAAAATAACTATCACTTACTGTCTAGAATAGGGCACCTCTGTCCTGAGATGGTAAAAAGGGCCTCTTGGATAAAGATGAGGGGGAGGAACCTGTGCATATGGACTTGCTCTCTTGGAAAAAGTCCCTACCCTTTGCTTGTGTCTCTGTGGTCAACACCTCATTGTAAGAAGCAGCATTGCCGGTCCTTGGAGGCCCTCTGCTCCTCTCCAGTTGCGTATCCTCTGCCTGTTAGGGGAAACCATTATCATAGAACTTACATGTCATTCTCTTGCTATTCTTTATTATTTTACCTCCTATTAAACATGTTTGCCTGAATTTTTACAAAAATTTCGTATAAATGGCAGGTGGTGCCTGTGGCTCAAAGGAGTAGGGCTCTGGCCCCATATACCGGAGGTGGTGGGTTCAAACCCAGCCCCGGCCAAAAACTGCAAAAAAAATTTTTCATATAAATGGGATTACTGTGTTTCCCCAAAAATAAGACACTGTCTTATATTTATTTTTTCTCAAGAAGACACACTAGGGCTTATTTTTGGGGATGTCTTCCTCTCTGTGCCAAAATGCATGATGTGGCTATGCAGATACACTGCATAGCCATGTCCATCATTAGGTCTTATTATCGGGGTAGGGCTTATATTTAACAAATGCATAGAAATCCTGCTAGGGCTTATTTTGGGGGAAGGTCTTATTTTCAGGGAAACACAGTAGGTTTTATATGTTCTTATTTGACTTCAGTCTTTTCTCAGTGCTTGTATTCCTTGCCTAATGCATTATTCCTTTGATAATATGTGTAATTTATTCCTTTAGATTGCTGTGTACTGTTCCACTATATGGACCTACCACAATTTGATATGTGTAGAATAATGGAATATCACATAGCAATAAAATAACAGTCTTTTCTAATGTTGAGAGACATTTGAGTTGCTGTTTTCTTTTTTCAAATTTTAGATTAATATGGGGGACATGATATTAGGTAACCTTATTTGTGTTTGTTAGGTAAAGTTCAAGTTGTAGTTGAGCCCTTTACCCAGGAGGTGTGCCATATACCCTTACGTTATATGCAGTGGGTGAGAGCTTACTGAAACCCCATCCCATCATCCTTTCCTCTCTCCATCCTCCTCTCCTTCCGCCACTTTAATTTCATTGTGTTTTTCTCTTGGATGGGCATGAAGAAGTTGTTCTACTGGTTTCATATTAGTATTAAGTACAGTGGATACTTGCTTTTTCATTCTTATGATACTTTACTAAGAAGAATGTTCTTCAGCTCCGCCCAGGTTAATACAAAAGATCTTTCCATCTTTTTTTATGGCTGAATAGTATTCTATGGTGTGTGTGTGTATGTGTGTATACACCACAGTTATCCATTAATCCATTCATGAGTTGGTGGCCACTTGGGTTGATTCCACATCTTGACAGTTATGAACTAAGCTGTGATAAATGTTCTAGTGCAAATGTTCTTAGGGTAAAATGATTTTTTTCTTCTGGATAAATACCTAGTAATGGGATTATGGGATTGAATAGAAGGTCTACTTTTAGCTCTATGAGGATTCTCCATACTTCTTTCCAAAGAGGGTATATTAGCTTATGGTCCCACCAACAGTGTAAAATTGTTGCCTTCTCTCCCCAGTCATCCCAGCATTTGTAGCTTTGGAACTTTGTGATGTCTGCTAATCTCACTGGGGTTAGGTAATATCTCAGGGTGGTTTTGATTTGCATTTCTCTGATTAGGGACAGTGAAAGATTTCTTCATATGTTTGTTGACCATCTGTCTTTTTCAGAAAAGGTTCTATTCATATCTCTTGCCCAATAATAAATGGAATTGCTTGCTCTTTTTTTGTTGTTGATTAATTTGAGTTCTCTGTAGATTTTTGGTTATCAGTCTTGTATCAGATTTGTAACACGTAAATATCTTTTCCCATTCTGAAAGTTGTCTGTTTGCTTTAATAGTTGTGTCCTGAGCTGTGCAGAAGCCTTCTAGCTTCATTAATAGCCATTAATAGCCAATAAGTAAATAGCCATTTACTTATTTTTGCTGTCATGATTGCCAATGGAGTGTTCTTCATAAAATCTTTCCCCAGGCCGACATCCTCAAAGAGTTTTTCCCATGCTTTCTTCTAGAACTTTTATCATTTTCTATCTTAGATTTTAATCTTTTATCCATTGTGAGTCAGGTTTTGTAAATGATAAAAGGTGCAGGTCCAATTTCAGTCTTTTTTTTTTTTGAAACAGAGTTTTACTCTGTCACCCTTGGTAGAGCGCTGTGGTGTCACAGCTCACAGCAACCTCCAGCTCCTGGGGTTAGGTGATTCTCTTGCCTCAGCCTCCTGTGTAGCTGGGACTGTAGGCACCCACCACAACGCCCAGCTATTTTTCTGTTGCAGTTTGGCTGGGACCGGGTTTGAACCCACAACCCTTGGTATATGGGGCTGGCGCCCTACCCACTGAACCATAGGTACCGCCCCCAGTTTCAGTCTTTTACGTGTGGTTATCCAGTTTCTCTCCAGTGTATGCTTTTATTTGGTTTATTGAAGATTAGATGGTGATATGAGGCTGGTTTCATCTTTAGGTTTTCTATTCTGTTCCATAGATCTGTGGCTCTATTTCTGGGCCAATGCTATGCTATTTTGATCTTGTAGTATAACCTGACATCTGGTAAAGTGACAGTTCTAGAATTGTTTTTATTACTAAAAATTGTGTTGGCTATAACAGGGTTTTTTTCTGGTTCCATACAAAATGAAGAGCTATTATTGTGAATTCTACAAAGTATGATATTGGTAGTTTAATGGGGATTGCATTGAATCTGTAGATTGCTTTGGGTAGTATAGACATTTTAATAATGTTGATTCTTCCCAGCCAAGAGCATACTAAGTTATTCCATTTGTTAATGTCTTCCGTTATTTCTTTTCTTAGGATTCATAGTTGTCTCTGTAGAGATCCTTCACCTCCTTTTTTAGATATATTCCTAGGTATTTCATTTTCTTTGAAGCTACTGCAGAGGGTATTGTGTCCTTGATTTAACTCTTGGCTTGATTGTTACTGGCGTATGCAAAGGTTACTGTTGATTTCATATCCTGAGACATTACTGTAGAATGCAATGGCATCACAGCTCACAGCAACCTCCAATTCAGGGCTCAAGTGATTCTCCTGCCTCTGCCTCCCAAGTAGCTGGGACTACAAGTGCCTGCCACAACGCCCGGCTATTTTTTGTTGCACCCATCATTGTTGTTTGGTGGGCCCAGGCTGGATTCAAACCTGCCAGCTCAGGTGTATGTGGCTGGCACCTCAGCCACTTTAGCCACAGGCGCCTAGCCATTACTGTATTTCTTGATCACTTTCAGCAGTTTTGCGATTAAGTGTTTGGGATTTTCTTAGTGTAAGATCATATTGTCAGCAAGAGTTTGACCTCTTCTGTCCCCATTTGGATACCCTTAATTTCCTTCTCTTGCCTGATTGCATTGACTGTAACTTCCAGCAGTATGTTGAATAATAGTGGCAATAGTGGACATCCTTGTCTGTTCCAGTTCTTAAGTGGAAATGCTTTCAGCTTTATTCACTTTGGTATGATATTGGCTGTGGGTTTGTTGTAGATGGCTTCT